CTGGGTTTTCCTTCTGACCCTTTCCCCCTCTGGGCCTCAGTCTTCCCATCTGTAGAGTAGACCTTTAGACTGGTACAGCTGATCCACAGACCTCTTTGAGAATCAGATGACAGATAAACAAACCGTCCTTAGAAAAATGCACACAAAAACTTTCAAACAACCTTCTGGGCTTCAAGGACAGTGAAACCCCCCAGCTTCCAAGTCAGGAACCCCCAGGCTGGGTCACCACTAAAAGCCCTCCCAGTTCAGGTGTTCTCACGGGCTCTGGCCTCCTGCTTTTCAGTCCAGTGCTGTTTCCGGGGATCTAGCCTCTACCCCTGGCCTCGTCAGTGCCCCGGGCAGGGCTGAGCTCCCCCCCACCTGCCCCCGCCAGGTGGTGGCTGTGGTAATGGACATTTTCACCGACATGGAGCTTCTGTGTGACCTCATGGAGGCCTCGGGCTGGCGTGGTGTCCCCGTCTACCTGCTTCTGGCCGAGGAACACCTGAGGCACTTCCTGGAGATGTGCTACAAGATGGACCTCAACGGAGGGCACCTACGGGTCAGCAAGGGACGGGAGCAGGAACTGGGGTGTGGAGTCAGGGAGGGCAGGAGAGTCAGTCGGGTGGTTCGTGAGCATTGGGGGTCAATAGGAGTGGGAGGCCGGGCTCTCCTATAGGTATTTTGGGTCAGAGACCCCAGGGGATTTAGACATGGCTTGAGCCCCATCCCCTAAAGGCGATTCCCAACCTCCCTCCCTCCTTGGCCCAGAACATGCGTGTGCGGAGCACGTGTGGGGACACATACTGCAGCAAGGCAGGCCGCCGCTTCACAGGGCAGGCCCTGGAGAAGTTCGCCATCATTGACGGTGAGCAGGTGGTGGCAGGCAGCTACAGGTGAGCAAGTGGATGGCGGGGAGGGTGCCTGGGGTTAGCCACCGGCTTGCGAGGGCGCCTGGGACCTGGCAGCTTTGAACTTTCCTTCCTTCATCCATCCCTTCCACTATGAACTGAGCAGCCGCCATGTGGCAGGCATGGTGCAGGGCCCAGGGGCCAGCGTGGGGAGCAAGACAGCCCTGGGCTGGGCCCTGGAGGAGCTCACTCTGTGGAAGGATTACTTTAATGCCCTTGGCATAGAAAATAACTCTTGCACCTCGGAATTGGAGGGACTTCAGGGAACCTGGCCCTTGGTCCATTTTACAGATGGGGAAGTTGGGGCTGAGATGCGAAACCACGTGCCGAAGTCCACTAAGCTGAGCTAGGGCTAGAACGGACTCCAGAGTCAGAGCTCTGCCCCCTCACTTGGGCCCTCGGGGTGGTGGTGGTTTTGTCTTGCTCCTCTGTTTGTGACTCCTGCCTGGCCCCAAGGTCCTGCACTTTGCCTCCTGACCCTGACCCTCTGCCCCCAGCTTCACCTGGCTTTGCAGCCAGGCCCACACGAGCATGGTGCTGCAGCTGAGGGGCCGCATCGTGGAAGACTTTGACCGGGAGTTCCGCTGTCTTTATGCCGAGTCCCGGCCCGTGGAGGGCTTCTGCGGAGGTGAAGATCCCCTGTCTCCCAGGGCACCGTGCCCTCCCCCAGTGGCCCGGGCCTTCGGGCCCGGCATCCCCAGCACCACATCCTTGTCGCACTCCAGCACCAGCCTCAGCAGCATCAAGTGCTCACCTCGCATGGGTCACTCCTCCTACCCAGCTCTGCCAAGAGGCGGCGGCTGCAGTGACATGGCTCTGGGATCCTCCTCCCCGGGCCCTGCCCGCTGTGAGGCCGATGGCCAGCCCTCCCTGCAATGCCAGCTGTTAGACCCTAACCACGGCCCCCTGCTTGGGCCCTACAGGGCCAACCTGAGCAAGCTGGGGGCGTCCCCCTGGTCCCAGTCCTCCCCTGCCCTCAACCCCAATAGCACCAGCCCTGTGACCCTGGCAGGGGGGTCACCTCTGCTTGCTCACCCTCGCCCCCTCCTCTCCTTTCCCCGGGGTATCTCAGCTCTGTCCCGGCTCCCAGAGAATGGGGTCACAGGAAGCCAGGAGCCTAGCCCCCCACGAGGCCCCTGGATACCTGGCACAGCCCTGGAGGCAGCAGAGGAGAATAAGGTGTCTCTGAGTCAGAGCCATGGCCAGCTGGATCTCCTCGTCCCCTTCCCCAGGGCACGAGAAGCAGGGGACCCTGATTCTGGGGTGACCCCCAATTCAGGCTCCCTTCGGCCTAGTGAGCAGGCCCCAGAGGACAGGAGGTTGGCCTCAAATCAGAGATACAACCAGCTGGATCTCCTGCCCCAGGCCCAGGATGCCAGGGGTCCCCCTGAGTCAGGTTCCCCCAGGCCTGGCAATCGGACCCCAGAGGACAAGAGGCTGTCCCCAAACCACAGCCACGGCCAACTGGGCCTCCAGGTACAGTCCCCCAAGGCTGGGGGCTCCAGAGTGCCCCCTGAAGTCAACTCCTTGGCCAGGCCTGGCAAGCAGGGTCCAGATGAACAATGGCGGACCCTGGGCCACAGCCAGCTGGACCTCATCATCAAGTATCATCAATTACAGGGCACCAGGCAGGGACCTGAGCCTGGCCTCCCCGGGGGCCCCACAGGTGGCCAGCGCAATGGCAGTAGCAATGGCCTGTCTGGGGATGAGAAATGGCTGACCCTGGGCCACAGCAAACTGGACCTCATTATTCAGTACAACAAGTCCAAGTCCAAGCTGCTCCGAAGCCGCTTTCAGTTGTAGTCCTGCTCCCAGAAAGGACATGTCCGTCCTCCATCCACTCTAGATTGGCTCAGGTCCCAGACTCCGGGGTGGAAGCTCGAGCAGGGGCCTTATGGGGAGGAGAGGGAGGCTAGAGGCCCAGGTTAGACATTCCTTGGGCTTGGGATTCTTGCTCACACACGTACATGCACACACATGGGGAAATGGAACCCACAGTTACTGGGCACCTGCCGTTTGTCACTGTGCTGAGCTCTTCTCACCAGTTACTTCTCATCCTTCATCCTCACAATACCCTACGAGATAGAGCTCTAGTAGGTGTACAGTTCTAGGATCATAGATATTATCTTCCCTATAATATAAATTTAGAAGCTGGGACCCAGCGAGTTTGATGACTTGCTTGGAATCAGGTCCGAGTAAGTGACAGGGGCTTAAATCTGTGTCTCTGACTCTTAATTTCTTAAGATCGTGTTTTTGCACAGACAGGACACACAATATCAACAGTTCCCATGTCCCCACGTGCACAAAATCCACATAATAACAGAGATGCTCCAAATGCCTGCACAATATACACGGCACACTGACAGGGTTCACACCCACAAACTACACCCACAGATGCAGTCCATGTGATAAACCAAAACACTCAGGATTCTAGTTATGGGTACTCAATAAGTGTCATTTGGGTAAATGAATGGTTACATTTGGTGCACACCGTAGACCCCTTAGGATCCACAGACCATAAATATGCACATAACCACACACACACACACACACACACACACACACAGAGGCATGCATGCACCAACCAGTATCTTTTTGTACCTAAGCTGTGCACCCAGTCCTGTGCTGGACATGCCATAGGGTTGAGAAATGAATCAGACTCAGTCCCTGGGAGACAAGGATTCAATGCATAAACGACTGGTGTATCTAATTAAAGGCTAACCAGTGAAAGAAGGTGGTAGAGAATGAAGGCCAGCAAGTGGTGGTGATGATGGAGTGGTGAGAAAAGTTTCTTAGAGGAGGCAGCCTTTGAGCCAAGCCTTGAAGGGTGGGAAGGACTTGGATAGATGGAGGCGAGGGGTAAGATAGACCATGGAGAGGACTGAATGAGTGGGTCTGAGATGAATCTGGGAGGATGGAGAGGACGTGGATACACACACACACACACACACACACACACACACACCAGCCTCATTTTGCTGAGTGTCCCTAGAATTATAGGCTCTGTCAGATGTAGGTCCTTTTCCTGAGCTTGCGACCTGCCTGGGACAGTATATGTGATACAAATCAATAAAAGCAGACATGATATGACCCAGCAGGAGCCTGGTGTATCCTGAAGAAGGCAGAGTTATGAAACTGCAGGTTGGGGACAGGGGAAGGGCACAATTCAGGCCAACTATGGAGAGGTCCTTGGAGGAGAGTGGACGGCTGCAGGAGGGCTGGGGGGTCGGGGAGAAAAGGGGCTCCAAGCTTCCCTCTGCCCTCGCTGAGAGTGACATTCTGCGAGACCCTGGGGCTTTTGTACAAAATGGGGGCCAAGTTCATCCGTCCACCAGAGCAGGTCTCTTGACTGCCACAATCTGCGGGCGGGGCGGGGTCGGGGGTGGGGGAGGGAGGCAGAAAGTGGCTGCCCATCAGCCCCTACACCCTTGCCCACTCAGGACCCTCCCTGACACCCGGCTTCGTCCATCATCTCCTCTCCAATACCTTCTTCAGCATGGTTTCCTTTCCTCCTCTGGCCGTGCCTCCCTCTCCAGCCTCTGTCGTGGTCTTACTTCTCCCTGATGGACACCTTCTCCGTGGGTGACTTCATCCACCCCAGGCTTCAGCTCCACATCTCAGCCCTTCAGTCTCCCCTGGGCTCCAGATCCCGCCTGGGCATCTGTCCCACACCTCACTCTGTCCCTCACCTCTCCCACACCTGCTCTTCCTCCTCGGGCTTTACTTCAAGGTATAACTCCGTCTGGGACTTCCCTGACGGTCCAGTGGTTAAGACTCGCTTCCAATGCAGGGGGCGTGGGTTCGACGTCTGGTGGGGGAACTAAGATATAACTCCATCATCAACCCATCTTCTGCGAGACATCCCTGGCTCCTCCATTCTGATGCCTCACATCCAACCAGCACAGGTCTGGGTCGATATTATCTACAAAGCTCCTGACTGAATGAATAAATGAATGAATGCGAGCTTGCTGGAGGCGGGGCCAGGCGGGGTAGAGACAGGACCACTTGCAGCCATAGAGTGCTCCCAGAGGCTGGCGCTAGAGTGGTCGCATGCGTGGCAGCGTGCGTCGCGTTCTCTCGGAAGTCTCCCAGGGAGGAGGCGGAAACGGAAACCTACCGAGGGCCGAGGAGGCCTCTTGCGCGTGCGGAGGTTTCATTTACGTGGTGAGCGGTTGTGGCGGGACACCGGCAGGCTCAGCTCCGGGCGCCCTGGGTCGTGAGGGGTGGGGGCCGAAGGATTCGGGGCTGTCGTGTCTGGAGGGGCTAGGTGGGCGGGCCCCGAGGGCTGGGGGCCGAGAGGGGCGGGGTCGCGGCGAGGCCTGAGGCGCGGAGGCCGCGGGACCCGGACCCGGACCGGGACCCGGACCCGGACCCAGACCCAGACCCAGGGTCGAAGCCAGAGCACCCTGTCCCGGGAGAGGATCCGCCGGCCCTGAGCTTCCTGTCCCGCAACCCCTAGGCCTCATGGCGGTCCGAGCGTCGTTCGAGAACAACTGTGAGATCGGCTGCTTTGCTAAACTTACCAACACCTACTGCCTGGTGGCCATCGGAGGGTCGGAGAACTTCTACAGGTGCGGCGGGAGCCCGGGGCCCGTAGGCAGTGTGTGGGTGGGTGGCTGGGAGGGGTACTTGGGAGTCTGGGGCTCGGGCAGAGGGAGGGCTCAGGCCCCCCAGCCCCGTGACCACCGAGTCCTTGTCCCTACAGTGTGTTCGAGGGTGAGCTTGCTGATACCATCCCTGTGGTGCACGCCTCCATCGCCGGCTGCCGCATCATCGGGCGCATGTGTGTGGGTAAGCTAGCTGGAAGTCGCCGAGGGAGGAAATGGAGCCTCCCAGCGCCTTTAATTATACCCCTAGAAGGGACCCCGGGTGACCCAGGGATTCCTAGGCTTTCATCCATTATTTCCAGGGACTACAGAATCTCTCAGGCCTGTGCTGGACCCTAAGTGTCAACAGATCAGGGACAACCTCTGGCAAAGGCTTCTGGATCATTGTAATCACAAATAACATTAAGGGCTTTCACTTTTACCCTTGTTTCAGTCCTTGTTCACGAAGACCCTGGGAGGTCGGAATTATTGGCCTAATTTGACTGATGAGGAAGCTGAGACTCAAAGAACCCAAGTGACTCGCCCAGTTCCACACCTGGTGTGAGGGAAGATTGGATTGTCATCTCTCCCCGGCCACTGACTCTGGGCAAATTGTTTCCACTTTCTGAGCATCTGTTTCTGCCTCTAAAAAATGACAAGCTGGGCTTCCCTGGTGGCGCAGTGGTTGAGAGTCTGCCTGCCGATGCAGGGGACATGGGCCCTGGTCCGGGAAGATCCCACATGCTGTGGAGCAGCTGGGCCCGTGAGCCATGGCCACTGAGCCTGCGTGCCCAGAGCCTGTGCTCCGCAACGGGAGAGGCCACAACAGTGAGAGGCCTGTGTATCGCCAAAAAAAAAAAAAAAAAATGACAAGCTAAGATTCTGGGGTGTACTGTTCAGTTACCCATTTCAATCTTCAGTTCCCTTTACCACGTACCCCTATATCTCTCAGCACGGTTGACTCTGGCCATTTGTCCTTTCTTTGAGCTGGATCTGTCTGCCTTTACTGCCTCCCCTTCTTTCTAGTTTTGCTCAAATAGGAGTTTGTTCCTTTATTTTTAATCATAAGCCTGATGATCTTGGACTCTGAGTATTTTCTTATCCAGGCAGAACATTCTTATCCCTAACCATGACCTTTGGACTTGAAGCTAGTTCTTATGTAACAAGGGAGATCTTAACCTGACCTTTGGTGGGTTTTTTTTTTTTAATGATGGGAGAAACTTATAGTTGAGAAGTTCAGAGTTGTGACCTTGCAGAGTCAGGCAGAGGTTTAGTCATTGTTGTCATAATTGTGGTTCATTCATGTTGCCGTATACTGTGTTTTGTGTAGGTATACCACGGTGTATTCATTCATTCTGTTGATAGTGGGTATTTGGGTAGTTTTCAGTTTGGTCTGTTATGAGTATTGCTGCTATGTTTCTTAGTGAACAAATGTATGTATTTCTATTGGATATATAATACCTAGGAGAGGAATGGCTGGGTATTCAATGTAGTACATGATGCCACATAATTATCTGAAGTGGTTGCCCAGTTTATACTCCTATTGGTTGCTCCATATATCTTTGCCAACACTTGGTATTGACATTCTTTTAAAAAATTTAGCCATTCTGGTAGGTGTGGAGTATTACTTCAGTTTCTTAAAATACAACTAATGCCCAAGAGCACTTCCTGTTAGTCCTGGTTCTTCCTGGCTGATGATGGCGAATTGGGCAGGATGTGTTGGGACAAACTCCTAGACCATCTCTGGCCTGCCCAGTGGGACTCCTGGTCCCCCGGGTGTTGTATGGATCAGTGGTTTGGAGGACTGGGGTCTGCGTCTAAAGCTTTGCTGGGGAAGCTAATTGGGCTGGATTGTATCCCCAGCCCCCAGGGCTCAGCAGGCATCTTGTGTATTCATGGTTCATCCTTGTCCCACCTTCCCTAATTTGGGTCTCCCCAGGGAACAGGCATGGTCTCCTGGTGCCCAGCAACGCCACCGACCAGGAGCTGCAACACATTCGCAACTGCCTCCCAGACTCAGTGCAGATCCGGCGGGTGGAGGAGCGGCTCTCGGCCCTGGGCAATGTCACCACCTGCAATGACTACGTGGCCTTAGTCCACCCAGACCTGGACAGGGTGAGGCGGCCCAGGAGTCACAGGATATTAGCCGAGTCAGCGGTTAGCCACCATTCTTGCCCATCAGACAGGAATTAGGGGTATCTCTTGTGGTTTCTCTTT